CTTGTTATTGTGAATCTAGTGCACCAATCAAACTGAGATTAAATTCTAATGTACTTGTTAGAGAAATTTCTTTGTTTGATAAGCAAAGCGCTATAGTGTTAATGGAAAGATTCTTTGAAGAAGATCAGGGTGCACTAATAGAATTGAGATTAAATTCTAATATACTTGTACATGAGAAAAATCAGAATACAATCTTGTTATCATGCATGTTAGTGCACCAATCAAACTGGAATTAAATTCTAACGTACTTGTTAGATAAATTCTTTGCTTGGCAAACAAAACGCCATAATGTTAACGGAAAAGATTCTTTGAAGGAGATCATTGTACGAGAAAAATCAGAATACAATCTTGTTATCATGCACCAATCAAACTGAGATTAAATTTTAACGTACTAGTTAGAGAAAATTCTTTGTTTGATAAACAAAACGCCATAGTGTTAACGGAAAAGATTTTTTGAAGATCAAGGTACCCGTTATCATCATTAATCTTTTTATTATGCAATCTTGTTATCATGCATATTAGTGAATTAATCATAAGAAAATCAAATCTTCAATAAATACTTGTTAACGGAGAAGATTCTTTGTTTGAAGGAGAATAGAGTACAATCTTGTAATCATATTGCCTGACAAAATTAGATTAAATTCTAATGTACTTACAACCTTGTTATCATATATTCTAATGCACCAATCAAATTGTAATCAACTCGTTTGATACACAAACCATGAAAAAATTTATTGTAAATGGTAAAGATGTGGTCCGTTTGTTGTTCCTAACAGTTTTGGCCCGCATTTAGCCTGCATTACAGTTAATTTTGGCCGAAAACTATTAGGATCAGCAAACGGATCGCATCTCTAGTAAATAGAGAAGATTCCTTATCACATGAGAAAATTAGTAAAATCTCGTATCATATATGTTGACGCACCAATCGAATTGTAATTAAATTCTAACGTACTAGATACATGAGAAATCATCATAACAATAAACAAAACAAACATAAGTCAGTTAATTTGACATATTATAACCGACTGACCTATACTAATGTGCGTCAATTTTATTGAACTTTAAGGCCTACAGTCTTTTTAATTTATTAATTTTTAACAACTGTAAATGTAAAATTTTTTTATGATCTGCATAATATATCATGTGACTGTTAATTTGTCAATTAATCGTAATTGGTTAAAAAAAAAAATCCTAGGCAGAATTTAGACTTTTGTGTAAATTTCTACTAGTTAGGAAAATTTTTCAATGTTTCACAACAGAATTGATTTTTAACGCAATCTCTTCAAATTTATCATATTATTTTTTAAGTAGTGTGCAATTGTAAATGTATTATGGACGAAGACGCAATTATCAGTGATGATAATTTAGATAGTAATAAAGAACAGTTAGAATCATCCTACATAAAAACGCAATTAAGCAAATATATGATCAGGTTGGAACAAGATTTTCCTGTTTCTATTGAAAACTTTAGCAAACCAACCTCAGATGATGCAAATGCCTGGCTGTTATATATTGAAAATATAAGAGAAAAGTATAAAGAAATAAGATGAGAATTCGAATGAAAACTTGTTGAAGGTTTAATTGAGCATACTTATATGATTTTACAAGAAGCTGGATAAAAGCCTTTCAAATTTAAAAGTGAACAACTAAAAAAAAAATGGGTCAAAGAAAAGATTGTTTTATCGATTCCGAAGTATCTTTCTAAATCTTCGAAAACACGTTACAACCAGGTATTATTTAACTATTATATAAAATCAAAAATAAAAAAATTTTTTATAGGCGTATGATCATATTTATGATGTGATTGTAACTTTCGAAAATAATAAAATATCTAAGGACATCTGGCTACCTATTTTGAATAAGATAGGAATCACTATACGTTTTTTTTGTGAAACAAATTACAAGAGGAAAAATATATATAAACTACTTTATGAAAATTTTATTAATCTTTTAATTGCAAAATGTAAGGAAAAGGTCGATGCATAATTTGTTCTTTTTAAGCTCGAATATTAATTAAGGTTAGCTGTAAGTTAAGATATTTTAAGGGTTTTAAACTTTTATACTTTTATAATTCTATATTAGATATGTTTAAAGATGTATATTATTTGATATTTTTAATTAATAAATATCAGAATTTTAAACATTTAATTTGTGATTCACCTGGAAATCTGGTTCATGGTGATATCAAAAATGAATTATAAAGTGAAACATTTCCTGTACGTACTAGCGTACTATTTTTATGGTCATAATTATAACCAATAAAATAAATGTCAAAAATACCAGTATGAAAAAATAATTTTTTGACTAAAAATTAAATTTACGATAGTAATTTAGTATCTAAAGGCGTTAGACAAATGAGATAATTAAATTTATCTCATTTGGTAATGACGAAAATACGTCTGGTTTAAAATTACGTGAGCAGTATAAATTAACATTCTATGTCTCTAATAGAGTACCCCAAATGTTATTGAAAAGCTTTGATATTGGATGTGGTATTGGTAAAGGACAATTTGGCCGTGTTTACATTGCAAGAGAAAATGAACGGCTATATAGTAGCCTTGAAAGTGCTATCTATTAAAGAACTAATTAATTAAAATGCTGAAAGACAATTGGGACGCAAAATAGAGATTCAGGACAATCTAAGGTAATTTAAATAATAATATATGTATATGATAACTTTTTAAATAACCGAATAAATATTTAAATACGATAGACAACCAAATATTCTTCAACTTTGTTTTAATCCTGAATATACAGCTAAAGGAAAACTTTATAAACAACTTTTAAAATCAGGTAGACTTAAAGAAAAAAAAGGGTTTGTTTATTAAATTATTTTGAGTAAAAAATGTTTTTTTTATGCTACGAGCTCATGAAGAAACTGGTCAAAATGAAAGATATAAACGAATAGCAAATGTTGAGTTCACACTTCCTGATTATTTGTCATTTGAGGCTTGTGACTTGATTAGCTTGGTATCTATTCTTTAAATACTTAAAGTATTTGACAAAGTTAAGTGTTGATTTTAATTTTCTAATTACAACCGTAGTTACTACAACGTCTACCTTTGAAAGATGTATTAAAAATCTATGGATTCAAAAATACAAGAAAAAAGCTGTGAATAAGTATTATATTTTTCAAGTCAACTTAGTCAAATCAAATTTTTAAGATCAACTTCTATGTGTGTAATTTTGTTATACTTACATATCATACTTATCTTCGATCAGTGAGTTCAATAAATGATAAACATTTCCTAGCCATCAGTCATATTTATTTTCAATCAAAGAGTTCAGTAAATAATAAATGATAAACTTTCCCTTGGCATCACTTAATCATGATAGTTAGATAAATGTTTAATTTAATATTGTGTTATAAAGTTTATAAATACGGTCGAATTGTAAAAAATTTTAATTTGATTTATTTCCCTTCTCAAGTAAATTTTCTTCCAATAATCTAATAAATAATGAATTCTTATAAACAAAATGCATGCAGTAACTGTCAAAATTAGGGCACATTAAAATTGACTGTCAATTGAAATATGCAAACAAAAATTATAAATTCCACTCACATTGAATATTTTGCAATCGCTTGTTATAGTGAACAAACAATATAAAAAACCTTCCACTCGATATAGTAAATTTACGAAAAGTTTCCTAAATATTCACAACCGAATCACTTCAGTATCAACCATTTTTCAAATCAAATTTCGACATTTAGTTGATTAATCACATGACTTATTTCAGCATCCAACAGTGCCAAAATACACACGGCATGTGAGAAGTTATTATGCAATATGAATATTTATATCCTGATTTAAAACCTGGTTAAACTGAAATTTGGATATTGACATAGTTTGAGAAACTTCATATTAACATTAAACTCTAATTGTTATGCAAAATATTAATATTAAAATAGCTGTGGGCCTTTCACGTCTCTAGACACAACAAAAAAATTTACAGTTTTAACTTTTATTAGCTAAATTTTATGTTTAACATTTTATAGAGTAAAAACTATTTAAAAATGTGTTTTTAATATATTTTTATATATCAGATAAAGCAAAAATAAAATGTTTCTAAAATAGAATCTAGATCTGGATATAGGATATCCAGTGGTTATATAGCTGTTTGAATTTGTAGCATTAATATAGTAATTGTAAAAAAAAAAACTTTATCTTTATCCAACCATCTGATATCAAGCAAGTATTACTGTATATGACTTTGTAATTCGGTTTAGACACTTATGTATGGTATGTATCCACTCTTGTTCGCAGAAACAATATGTACATAAGTATTGTGAATCCCATTTTTATGTGGAGATCAACATTGCAGTTATGCTTTCATTTTAGAAGTTTTGAGTTTAAATTAAAAGTTCCAGAAGTTGAATGTTCTTTGCAACGATAATGCCAAGTTATAAGTATCAGCCGCTGTTAGGCCATGACATAATCGTTACGATAACTTATGAAATATTCTAAAATTCGAGATAATCAATATCCTCAGGTTAGGATGCATTATTATAATAAATTACTATGTCTGATGGGATGATGAAGATGTGTTAGAAGTGTTATCAATCTATATCAGAAGTCAAAAATTTAAGTTTGATAACTAAATTTAAATTTAGTAATTCGTATAATAGTAAATCAAATGAATAATCAATTTAAAAAAATTATTGTCACAGCTGATGCTAAAAATGGCTAATGCTGAAATTTTGATATAATAGTTTTAGAATCAGGGTTTATTAATTGAAGTGTATAGATGGGTTTTAGTAGTAGGGTTGGGGCATGGGGGTGTGATTTCAATTTGTCATGGGAGTACGAGGGCGTAATGTTACCATCACATGGGAATTATTAATTACATTGTGATGTTTTACTAATTATTATTATGTGATGATTTAGGGTGTTATGCCGTGCCAGTGCGATAATTTTCTGTGCCCCAACCCTATTTAGTAGATATTATAGTTCTAAATAGAGACTAGAGTTGGGTAATGAAACCCGAAACTATATATAAAATCCCGAAACCTTTTCCGAAGCTCTATACTATACTGGAAGGGTTGGAATTTTAATTTTAGACTTTAAGACATAAAGTACATGATAATTAGATTGCATTTCAGAAATATTTTGGTTACTTTATAGTAAATGTGCATTAGTTATTAATATTTTAATTTGAAGGTTTCAGAAAGGTTTGGGTTTCGGGTTACAACTCTAATAGAGACCCCAAAATTTCAGCATCAGCCGTTTTCAGCATCAGCCGTTTTCAGCATCAGCTGCGACAATTATTAACAGTTGCTACTTTTCATTAAATTAATTAAAGTTAGACGAGACCAATTTGATTCAGTGGTTTACATTATATCACTATTTATTTTACAAAAATTAAAAAAAAAACACTGTTTTGTAAAATTCTTTTTATTATCAAAAAGATAAACAAGAACGAAATATGTTGAAACTAAATTTAATAATAAATTCATTGGATACCCATTAGATTTAATATGTTGATTATTTCAGTAACCCAATTCGTATATTGGAACACAAAATCAAATATCAACCTATTAAAACAGAAAATAAAGAATTAATTCTCTGATTAAATAAATTTAATTATCCCTTAAACCGTATATTTTAGTGTACAAATTTGTACGCTAAAATTTTTAAAAGAAAATTGAGCTCTAAAAAAA